AATGCCCTTTCGGGTATTTTCTTCTCTCTTAGATACTTAAAATTGCACATGCCAATGACATTAATGATGGATAAAGACACGGCGATAATCTGCAAATCTTTTGGTATCTTTCAAAAAAATAATATTTTAAGTATTTGTAAACTTGATCTTTATTCATAAAAATTCTTTATCTGAGCAATACAATAAAATTACTCATCAGTTAGAAACTTTTGACAGTTTGTATATTTATTGAGATAATAAACGGAAATAAGTTCCAAAATTTAAGAAATGTGAAGCGTTATATAGATTGCTCTTCCATATATAAACCGTAATGAAGAATCGAAAGAAGTCCAGTCCGATTACACGACTCAATGAAGGCTCGGTTCTTGAAACTGTCAGCTGCCTGAGGGAGTCATGGATCTCCCGATAGTGCGCAACTTAGGATCCATTAGAGATACGTAAAACCATCAGGGTCTGTCTCGAAGAGTCAGCAGAGCGCGGCAGTAAAGTCAGACACGGGACGATTTCACATAGGATACCTAATCACGATTTTTTTTATCGGGAGATATATATATATATATATATAGAGAGAGAGAGAGAGAGAGAGAGAGAGACAAGAATGGAACCTCCATTCCAACGAAAATAAACGCAAGTCTTTGTGATTCATGTCGTCGCGCCGCGCCGTCGAGCGAGCTGTAATTTTCGCATGCAAGTTCGCATGTAAAGGCCGCCCGGGAGAGACCTCGGTTTCAATAACTTTCTGAGATTTTCAAAGTGCGAGAAGAGGAAGGATCATAACTTCCTAAATAATAAATAATAAATGAAAGTGAAGAGAAGAAATAAAGAAAGAAGCATTGGTTCCGTTATTTCTTGAGACGAGAAAAACCGGTATCATTCTGTATTGTAAAAAACCTGTGCTTTTTTTGTAGCATTTCACAATTTTATACTTTATCTTTTTAGCCTATGATAAAATTAGAATCAATCTATTTATTTATTATAATATTGATAATTTAATCATAATTTTCTTTATAAAATATAATCGTTTTTAGATTAGTTTTCATGTACATAAGAATTTTTCAATACAGATATACTATACAACTTCCGATTTAACTTTTATGCTTGTTCAATCACGAAAGATCACAAGGAATTGTCCGAGAAAAGGAACAACTTACCGCACACCGTATTCGAATAAAATCCGATTAAGAATAATTTATTGTTCTTATTCACAGTATGTACAATTTCGACACAAGATATTTCGATAAGAAACGCAAATAACGAATTCTGACTCTCGACTAAAAAATATAAAAATTATTTACAGCATTGTTCATCATGCTTCAGTTTAATTCTTATATAATTATTTGGATGGTTTAACAAAAATATTTTCAGATCTGTATCTAGATAAATTTTTAGATATTTCAGCAAAATAACGAGATTGACAAAGAAGTGATTCGCTTGAGGTAACTAAACAAGAATTTGACATAAATAAGATAACAGGAAACAAAGAGAAAATAGAGCGCTAGAATTAGGCCAATATCCTTTTAGTACGATAAAACGTTCTTCACAGTATTAAATTTTTGCGTCACAAAACAATTTTAAGAAATTAATAATAATATAATAATTAATAATAATCATACTGGAACGTATATACATCTTTTTTAATTAAGTTTTTAATTGTAATTATTAATAATTTTAATTAATAAAACTAATTACATTAATTAAAATTGTAATCAGTGTAATTAATTATTATTATTGATATAACATAACATCCTTGCATATAATTTAGAAGTAAAATTCATTATAAGCGTATGATATCTACTCTTTAGATATATTTATGTATATGTATATGTATATTTAATACGTGTATATTCAAATTAGAAAATTATGAAAATATATATTTTTTCTAAACTATTCAATTGTATTACAATCCATAAATATGGAAATGGATTAATTAAATAAGTTTATTTGACTATTATCCATAATTTTTCGTTTCATCATTTTGTTAATGCAAATTATACGACATATATCAAAAGAAGTGTTGTTATGTTAAAAACTATTTTTTTTTCCGGTAATAATGGTCTCAACAATAATGGACAACTTTCGAATTTTTTTACTTCCGCGAGCTAATACGCGGGCGGTCATTAACGCTGTTCTTAATTAAGTAAAGCTTCTCTGGTTGCTGGAGAAATGGCGAAAGCAGAAGTTTATATTACGGCGATAAGGTGCGATCATGAGTAGGATATAATATTTTACGGAAAAAATAACTTTTCTTTGGTGGCGGTCGAGTAAAGCCAAGTACTTGCCCGAGTTTCCCCTTCGACGTTTCTCTTTGCCTAAGATTTTACAGCGGATGCACGCATTACAGAATTTTTGTGAGACTACTGAGCAGCACACAAAAAGCATCGCACACAAAAGCATTTTATGAAGCAAACCCCCTCCGTCAATGTTTAGTCAGAAAACACTTCTTCCGGTCTCTTAAGAACTTCCTGTACCTTCCGAGATTTATAAAGTGTAATAGTAAAAATAAGAAAATTTACAAGAATCAATAAATAATTACTTTCATAATATTTTGCTTCCTGATTATGTCTATAATTTGCTCTATAAGCATATTTTATTTAATACAGAATTGGAAAAAACAAGCTTTTTTACGAAGACTATCCCGATGATAAATCTGGTGACACGCCGGATGTTTATCTGCTTTTTATTAACGATTTGCCGACGCTGCAGATCGTTATAAGTTCTTTCTTATTTATTTCTATCGCTTTTACAACATATACCTTATCACCCAAGTGTACATCTTGCGAAATAAGCACTCTCACTTTCCATCATATATAAAGAGACAAAATAAATAGGACAGACGATTAATCGCTAATTAAGTCTCATGAAACGATTCAGAGCGGACGTTTATTTTCATTTCGGTCCAAGTGTTGCATTATTTTTTGAGAAACATTGAATTACAAAAAATAATCTTATAATATTAACCAATTTGATTAGTTGATCAATAATGCTTATTATTGTATTGCTATCAATCTGTAC